ATGATATTAATTTTTGATTGAAAGTAATAGTTTATAATTAATATATTTCTTAGAATAAGTCAGTTAAATGAACGTGATTTTTGTCTTATCTTTCAATCTTAATGCAAGTTGATTAAGATGATTTATAGATGGTAGTAAATTATTTTGTTTTGCATACCAAGATGAGATAAATATTTCACTTGAATTACTTTTGTAATTTGATGTTTGATAAGAATTTAGTGAAATCATTTCTTGTCTGGTAGGTGAAATACAAGTTGGCTCAAAATTTGAAGCACTTGGCATAGTATTTGTTATTATAGTTGCAGTTTTGACCTTGAAGTAAAAGTAATTCCAATGATTTTTATCAAATCTTTGGACTCAACTTCATAGGCCCATCTTTTCCAGCTACTATAATATTTCTTTCTAGGCTCTACTTCAGTAATCTTTACCAATTTTTAGCATTTGAAGCAAATAGCCATTTAGCTCTTATGAACACTAGGCCTATGATATCTGAAGTGATCTTTAAATAACTTACCATTAATATAAAATGTTTTGGATTCTAATTTTCCAAAGAAAGCGAAAAGGTAATACATATGATATAAACTATATCCTTACTTAAAAAGTAGTAGTTTTTGCAGAGGACCTCTTACACAATTATCCCATTGCTAGGGTGTTTTATGAGATCTAATAATAGACAAATAATTGTATTGCTTTTCTATTTTAATCACTTATTCATACTGATAGTTATCAGTTTGAGAACGACAGTTAAAAACATGTTTCATATCATATCTAGGGTGAAAATTGATAGGTTTAGGTACAGTTTTATTATAAATCCTGTCTATAATAATTTTAACTATGTTACCGAACATATTTATTAGCAATTTAGTGATTTATAGCAATTTCAATGATTTATAGTAATTTCAGTGATTTATAGTGATTTTAACAAGATTATGCATAAATATAACTGATTCATTTTTTTAAGGGATATATGAAGATGATGTATCCTGTGATTTACATACATATAAATAAAAAGGCTCTGGATTGAACTGAAGTTTGTGTTATAATACGATTCAAATACTTAGGTATAGCAGATAAATATATTTTTTCGTTGATGACGCAGTAATCGGCAACAATAAAAAATTTATTTATTCCGATGCTTTACACTCCCGTACAAATATGAAAAAATATATGCTCAAACTATAGGCAAAATTTTATTGATGTTTATGTATGCGGAATACAGATACAAAAAACTTCATAACGACTAAGATTAGCTATATAGGTTGTAATATCATATCACAATTTCATATGTCTTGTAGCGCAGTAAATGTTTCTCTGACCAAATGTCACATTATTTTTTAGTTATATAAAAAATCATGTGTGCGTTACAATTTGTAACGCTGATCACTTTTGGCAATCTGATGTAATACATTGACGTTCATGTATAGGAAGCCATTTTTATTTCTGATATATGCAAACCCACCCATACGAAAAATGCATACACATAAGCTTGATGTAGAGAACTTTATTATCACAAGGAGAATTTGATTCGGATTCAAAAAAGTTTTAGAATTACGATATGGGTTTTATTTATGGTGCAGTAAATCATTTGAAATTAGTGATTGAAGGATTATTGTTCTGATATGCACTCAAATGCAGTTAAAAATTATCACTCTATTGTTATTTCATTGATTACATACTATAGCTAGATAATACATATTATCTGGTATTCCGTGATTTTTTATAATTAACAATGACTATAATAAATCGTTTATCAGGACAAAAAATCAGTTATCAGGCAAAAAATCATTTATCAGGCAAAATATCATTATCAGACATTTAATAACTTATATTAAGCATTATTTGTATTAATAAAATTACATTTAAAACTAATTAATTATATATAGTACAATTTGTATAATAAGTTTTATTTATAATTATTTTTTTTTCCCTTTCTTTTTTCTTTTGATTTGTATTTAATTCGGAAGATGAAATTTCTTGTAAAGGCCTCTTATTTTTTTTATTTAATAGTTGCGAAGCCTTACTAAAACCATTGGATGACTATACAATTTAAATTAAATGTAATATAAAATTCAAATATAATAATATCGTTATAATAAAATGTAAAAATATTCCATAACTGAAATAAGAATTTTCATTTGTTATTTTAAGATTGCTTCAACTTGCATCAAATGTTGACTGAATTGCTGTATCACGGCCTAATGAACAGAACTATAGAATGGTATAAGCTTATCAGAAAGAAACCTTTAAACATCCTAATGGAAAAACAAATAAGGGCGCTATTATAATTGTTACAAGGAAATGTTGTAGGTAAACAATAGCTTAATCACGGAACACCGGATAAATCACTTATCCGGCACTTCGAGCCGAATAACTACCGCTACCTATAAGGTAGCTAATAATATTGGGAATCAAATTTGATTTTCCCAATATAATAGTTATTCGGCACTTCGTGCCGAATAACTATTAATTATTTACTTATAACGATTTATTTATTTTATTAATGAATAGAAAGAAAAAAGTATTGTTTTACATGTTATTAAATCATCAGCCGAAATTAAAAGCGTCCTAGCGTCTCCTGAAAAAATGGTAACCGGATTATATTTGCCGGGTCACATACTTATTAGAGGTGAAATTGACAATCAGCATTTTTCTCACAAAAAAATTTCCAAGTCCACAGAATACTTAGTGACGCGATGTGACATATTCCTACCTCCCCTAACTAATCCTAATTCTACCCTAATACTAATCCTAATCCTAATCTAAACCCTAAGTCTAATACTAACCCTAATAATAAATACACGACAAATAAAATCCGGCTACCATTTTTCAGGCAAAGCTATGTAAGTCGGCCAAACCGCTAAATGTTTCGTGACTGCAGAAAATTAAAATTTCAATATTGAAATAGAACGTGTCGAAGGTTTGAAGGAGATTATTTCAAAAAAGATGAAGATAAGCTTACAGCTGGTGTAAGTATGTCGCTGTACAAGTTGCCAAACTTCTTGGAGCAATAATTTATTGCTACATGAGTCACCAGAAAGTTACAATAATTTTATATTGAAAAAAGCATTACAATTACCCCGTTGACGTCTTTCAATTTCGAGTATTAAATGGCTTTTACTTGTATAATCTAACGCTTTATGATATTCTCCACTCCCCAAAAAAACAAATTTTTGTATAGCATGGAATGGAAAACTTAATGTGATAGGGTTGCATGTTGTAATATTGAAAAGCTACCAATTGTAGAAAATTGAAACCTGTCGAAATATTTTTGGGAGGACTTAATATTTATTCCTAGTGGTTCTCAGAACTGCTATCTTGAGGACCATCAAATGAATGGTTTTTATTTATTTTAATTAAGAATATTGTTGGTAATCGATTTGGTTCGTGTGAATTATGTCATCTTATAAAAATACGAAAATAATTACATAATACATACGTTATATACGCCAAAATCAGCAGGAACATAAATTGTTTGAACGCCAAATTCAAATATAGATTATAAAAGCTCAAAATTTTCTTTCTTTCTATAGGTCAGGAATAATGTCTTTGAAATCAACTTCACAAACTTATGGCAAAAAATGAGACTCTCATTTCTTCCATTCGTAATATTATAAAGGTATATTTGAAATTGTATTGTAAACGAATATGAATTTATATATTTCAATACTTTTATTAAAATTATATACATTTAATATTCTAAGAGGATTATCCCTGCCAAAGCATACTTAATGAATTCTTTCAAAATGGTAAGCAAAATGCGTCGAATTTCTTGAATATCATACGCATTTCTCATTCTTAAAAAAAAAAAAAGCCGATGACGCTGGGGCTTCTCGGTTTCATGTTATCATCGACGGACATTCGCATTCCACCAACTCTCTGCTTTGCAACGAAATGATGGCCTGGCAAGCCCCGCAATTTTGATATACAATAATGCTATTTTCAAGACAAACGATTTTGATTCGCTTATGCAGATACGTTTTGGTGGGAAACGAGGCGATGATACAATGATTGGGAAACATGGGTTAGGTTTTAACTCGTGTTACCACTTTACCGATATTCCGAGTTTTATAAGCGGCGATTCTATTGCGTTTTTGGATCCTCAAGAGAAATTCTTGCCAAGAAGACATGGTGAAACCCAACGAGGGTTTATTGGATCTTTTCCAAAAAATGTTATTGTAAATATTCTGAAAAAGATCAATTGTTTCCTTTTGAAGGCATCGAAGGCATCGATTTCCGTTCGACTTTTCGAGGAACATTATTTTGAATACCACTTCGGAAACAACCAAGTGATATATCCGACAGTATTTTTACTAGAGATCAAATTCTCAAATTGTTCACGAGTCTTAAATCAACTATCTTCTCCCAATTTTTATTTCTTCGACATATCGAAACAATTGAAATTTCTCATATACTTAGGGCAACAATTCGATTACAAATAAATTCACTTTATAAAGCGACTATAACGGAATTGACTGAAAATGTGAGAAACCAAAGAAAATGCGTCATAAAAAATAAAATTCAAACTTTCCAAATGGAGATCAAACAAATTGAAGATTTAAACGATGTGCAGAAGGACTATTGGATTATTGTTACCGGTGCCCAACCAAATCCTGAAGATCCTTAAATGAAAATATATGTAGAACGATATCGATTACGCGTATTAGGAGGAATTGCTGCATTATATAAAAGTTCGAAAGATGATAATAACCGTCTTCATATTTTGCTGAATTACATAGCAGCTATGGTAATCGCTCTTTCAACGAATACCGGAGCGACTTTATTGGTAGATTATACTCTTTCCTTTTGTTATCTGATACGACAGGTTTGCCGTTTCATCTCAATGGAACATGGACTCAAGGCTCAGATCATGGAAGGTTATTAATGGAAAGAGATTATTCGCCGGATATAGATCGTCAAAAACTCAATTGGAATAGACATATTCTGCTTGATCTTCTTCCTAATCTTTTTTTAATCTTATAACAAAAGTTGTTGAATTACGAGAACCTAGAGAAAGAATCCATCCTATCTCAATTCTGGCCATTTCCGTCCATTAATAGGAATTATTCAAAGTACGCAATTGAATACGGTTTCAAAGTACTCTAACATTTATTACAAAACGATGAAATATTGATTAATGGTAACAATCTGTGTGATCGCGTGAAGATTCTCTTCGAACTTTTATCATATCAGCATATTATAAATATTCGTAATTTACTACGAAATAACTGGAATGAATTGAGTAACTATCTTATTTTGATAACGCTTTGCAGTAGAAAGTGAAGAAACTATATTTTTTTTTGATTTAATGTTAAATCTGTACTTATTTACTAAAAAAATGATCATATTTAGCATATAAAATTTTTTTTTGTAGTTTCCTCTTTTCTACTGCACGCCTAAATAATAAATTATATTGTTTGAATGCTAATTCTCTCTTTTTAATGTAGAGTTCCGATTAGATCCAAGTTTCAAGTCACCGCTCCGTTCACTTCCTATTTGGTCGACGATTTCTCATCCGGAACGCTCCATTTCTGATAGTTATAATCCGTTAGATGAAGATCCAAAGAAACTTTTAAAACCAGCTTCATGCGGATATATTTTGACAAATTCCTTTCACCAACATCGAATAAAGACTCGTTCAATTTTTTTGGATGCAAGTAACAATAATAGTTGTCAAATTTTAACTGATCTTAATGTTCCCACGCGAGATATCTACGTGTATACCTTTGAGGATGTCGAATTTCCTAAGGAATATGATAGCTGTTATCTCGATTTCCTAAAAGACATACTTAAAGATATTCAAATTATTCAAGGTTTAAAGTATAAACGCTGTTTTCCCAATTGAATTACAAAAAAAATTAAAGAAAATCACCGACCTATATGATTATAACAAGCTGGTGTTTTGAGCCGTGTTTGGAAGAGTCTCTAGTGTCTTTCTTCATCAAATATACAGAGAATTTATCGAAAATTGTATTAAAAATAGCATCGATCAAGAGATATTTAAAAAGTTGCCGTTAAAGGAAAATGGAACCCCCATCTGACATACGTTATCGAGACTTCAACCTGGTTGATCATCTATATAAAATTTTAAACGATATAAATTTGGAAAGCATTGAAGGTATTCCATTCATCCCGATTACCAAAAGTTTGGGGCAACCTTACAACTTACACTATAAACACTCAATCTTTAGATTGCTTGAGTAACATTATTCTTCCCGCATATAGAGAAGTCGCGTGGAGTCAAATGCCATTGACCGCGGAAGATGTAATACCACCTCAACAAGTACTCGAAAAATATCCGTCATTTGGCAAACCGGATGTTTCTACTGTAGTAAGACATCTCCGGGCAGTTGGTCTAGGGTCTGTTCTAACACTTTTTGGTCTTCACTAGTAAGGGTAGGTCCAGGGCAGTTCAGAATAGGTTCGGGTTCATATTCAGCATGGGTAGGTTCAGTCTGAGTGCTTTTAGTGTACGATGAAGTATGGAAGAAGGATTGGACTGATGCATTTAAAAACAACACATATGAGGTTTATAAATGGCTGAATGAAGAATGTAATTTCCAGTATAATAATAATTAGCTAATAAATTTTCGATAAGTTAAAAATAATAATTTATCTAAGCTTTGGTATTTAT